TCGGTTTAGAGATTAAAGAAGGTTCAAACAAGGAGGATACTTAAAGTATAAACAATAAAAATAGACAAAAATACAAGGAAGTAACACAGAGATTTGAGTGACATATGTACAATCAGGATGGCGTATATACAGTATACATATTGCACAGGTCAATAAATATTTTACAATTGCACAGTAAATGTTATAGTGCAGCATTGTATAGTCTGGTAGCAGCAGGAATGAATGACCTGCAGTATATACACACAGCCCACAATAGGCGAGTCATCGGAGAACTTCTGGAGGTGGCAGCTGTCCGTGTTGTAGGTGAAGTCCGAGATGTAGAGGGTGAAAAGAAATGGAGACAGGACTGTGCGCTGGGGGGATATGATATGATGAAATATGATATTTCTCAAATGTTGGACAAAATCATGGTGTTTTGAAAGACAATGAACTTAAACCATTCAACAGTTTTGTCCATACAAAGCAGCTGGACAAGAGAAGTAATGAGTGCTCTAATTTAGGACTACACAAATCGATTTGACTTGTTTAGAGGATCTTTTTAGCTATTGAGAAAAGGTAAACTGAGTAGAAATGTGTGTTGTCACATCTCATAAATTTTAATTAAAAGGGCTTGATTATCCTTAAGGCCATACCATAATAATGTTTTGACTTGAACTGCGGTGAAGGTAACAGTATATCTGTAAAAAAAATGAATGTCTGAAAGTCCTTGATGTAAAATTGAATCGAGGTTCTGTTCACTCATATAACAACAAAAAAATATTATTTAAAAAACGACAAAAAACAAAACAACATATTTAATTACATTTTAGAGATTACAGTTCAATGTGAGGAAATACATTTAACCTTTCTTTTGCCAATAGTGTTTGCCCTTTTGAGTCGAAGAAATGTGTCCAATACAATGCGGTTAAACACGTTTAATCTTATAACATCTATGTATGTCCCCGCAGTTTGAATATTTCAAATGGTGTCATTTTTTATGTTTTAAAACAATATTTACATTTTAATTTTTTTAAAACATAAACTCTCGATAGAACTAGAATTCTTATTCCTCACTGCTGCGGAACTATCTACAGTCAGTCCACACGGACGACATCAACGACAGGGAATCGCGGCACTTCCGTTGCCCATGACACCAGAGCGAAGTTCTGACAGCTGATTCACAAGTCAGTTTCCATCCATTTTCAGCCTCTGAGTCCTAATATTTGAAGTTGTCTGGAGTCGGGTAGGCCTGCTAAAACCCCAAGCCGGTGTTGCCAACTACCATTTGAAAAGAGGAGGCTAGCTGATTATGGTGTAGCCGGGAGCGCTAGCTCAGAGACAGCAGGTAATAACATTCAGATAATACACACGCGAACACCGGTTAGCATTGGTTCGTATTGTCACCGTTTAAAACAAAACATTGCCTCACGCATTTATTCATGGGTGCAAGGAAAAATACTGATCTGATAGGGGTTTTAGGTCTGGCGTTGACGTATAGCTAGCAGTAATTAGCAACATTAGCAAGATGTTATTACGGTAAAATAACTTGATTAACTTCGAATCAATCAGAAAAAGATTAAACTGTCTGTTGGCAATTTGAATCAAATTACATAGCGGGAGTTATGTGTCTTTTCTATCGTAGTAGCAAGGCCTGGCATTATGTTACAATCCAAAATTATTTGTTTGTTAAGTTAAGTTTAATACTTTGTAAATAAAAGCACGGGTTCTCAGTGGGGGGCTGTCCCGGGGCACTGTGACTGACAGCTGGGACAGGTGGGCGTTGAGTCTGGATCAGTGACACAGTTCATGGGGCTCACTGATAACTGATATCCACTCTCGTCTTCTCTACTCTCCACAAATTAGCTCATCCACTGTACAGGCTGGACACAAAGAGAGGAGAGATTCTGTTAACCCACAGCTACATGGACATAACTAAATAGTATTAAAAATAGCACATTTCAATGTCATTCCAGGCATATTTCTTTATACTGTCTTTGCTATGTTGATAACTTGCACAGCATGTCTGATAGTGTGACAAGTTGTTTGCACAAGTAGTGGCATTGGTTTGACAGCAATCCAGCATAACCACATAACAGTGCTTTATGAAGAAATATAGAAGCAGTCTTCATTTGTTTCAGACTGTTATCAGACAAGCACATGTTCTCCCTGTGTTTGCATGGGTCCGAGGACTTCAGCTTCCTCCTGCCATCCAAAAAAAATGCATGTTAGGTTAATTGTACATTCCCTACTAATTTTTTAGTCAATTTTTGACATCTTGATTTCTCTTTAAGGAGGATGTAGTTTTTTAAGTTTTTACATTTTTTTTGGTCTGAGGTCTTAAACTTTTGATTAGCTACTGATAGCCTGTTTCAGTTAAATTGTTTTCAATAAATTGCCTGCTCAACACTTCTGGTCCCTTGGTCCCATTTCTTGTTTTTGCATTTCAAAGCTTTACTTAGAACCTTCTTCACCTCCAACAGTGTAAAATCTAAATCATTCAAATATTTTAACTGCTCTTAAGATTTTGATCTGAAGTGTAATAGGGGAAGTAATTCTCCCTCTTTAAAGACCAATTTCTTTGTTCTCAACACTTTTCTCATAATGTATTTATTTAATCTAATAAAATAAAATGTAATATTTAATATTTTTCAACTAGGAGCTCAAAAGTGTTGCTTATTAAAAGGATCTATTGCTAAATACTGTTTTAAATGGTCTCAAATCCACCTTAAAGTACTAAAATGACTACTAAAGTGAGTGAAGTCTAAAAGCATAGCTGTCTGGTGGTGGTGTCCCTCCACTTTTTCACATTAGATTTTGTTTTGTATCGGTGGTGTAGTTTAATCAAATACACATCTGTCCGCCATTATAATTAAGCAGCTGAATTGCTTTAGATGTCATAGCTCACAGTTACAAAGCCACCAAAATCTGTCCAGGGTATAATCTTTGCACTTGTTGCAAAAACATGTTTTTGTCCTCTGCAGCTGTCAGCCAGCAGGTTGTACACATGCCTCTCAGAGCACCAATACTGCATAGTTATTGACAAATGTGTAGTGTATTGAGCACAGATCAGGCCTTATCTCCCATGAATATGCTTAATAAATTAAAAACAATCTACCAAACAGTTTTCTGTTACAGAATATTCCCTAATCTGAGAAAAGAAGTAATGCCTGAAGTATTATTTTTTTCATACTAGCTTGATTCTTTTCTATTACACTCTCACAGTGACGTGTTTTGGTTGTTTAATTGTTTTCAGGGTCTGTAATCTTTTCTCAGTACCCATGGTAGTTATTGTTCATCATCACGTAAGCTGAAGGCAACCAAATTGCTCTCGGGAGCATCTATTGTTTTCTTTCCAAAATATAGCTTTGGAATGGTTTGTTTTTTCACAGATCATCTCTGCATCTCTGTTTGTTACCACTCTTACCTGACAGAACCAAATTTTAATTGAAAACATTTAGCTAAACCTGTGTTCAAATCCGGGGATTGATTGTTAAATGTCATGTTGTTATACTGCATACATTATTTAGTAAGAAATAGAAATTAATGCAGTATATCTTATGATGAAGACACACAATAGATCTAAAATATACCGTTTGGATTGTGTTAGAAGGTTGGAACATTTTTAAACAGTTAGCATTGATTGAGTACAGCAGCAGCACAACAGACTGGTACATGCACCCTGGTGCTAAATCTGCAGTAAAGGCAGAAATATTTGAGACTTTTTGTTAAGTCACAATACTAGAAGTGAGTGACTTTATGTATGATACAGTGTTCATACATTTTGGCTGACGCGGCTGAGTAGAGTGAAGTGGAAAGCTTTTTCTCTCTGGGTAGCGGATGAGTACCTGCTTCAGCTGTAATAGGGAACTGGTATATTTTGGTGAAATTTTATTGGGCCATTTCTCTACATGAAATTGTAGATGGAAGGAGCAGAAAAGGATTTACTTTAGAAGGTGGTTGAAGAATGGCTGCTGCTCCTCTGAATTGAAAGGTGTTAACTGAAGTTATTCGGATTCATCCTGGTCACCTTCCTTTAAAAGATATCTGGGCAGACTTACGTTTATAAATCTGTTATAGGTCAATGGCACCTTAGGGTCCGCCAGAACAGTATTCCTCAGGGCCCCTTGACCTGCATGTTTTCCATGTTTCCCAGCTCCATCACACCTGTCTTTCTTCATCAGCCCTAGCAAATCTTTAAAGAGCTGAAGACCTCAGAACTATGAGTCCTCAGGACTAGGGTTAGGGAACACCGCCCTAAAGTGTGTTTGAGAAAAGGATGTTTTGTCTTCCCTTTTGAACTTCCATCTTTTCCCTCAGAAACTCGATAAGAGTGTAGATGGATAATCAATACCACATTTAAAGAATTTACCTGTTTTAGTAGAGAATTAGAATAAATTCTGTTAATGAAATGATTGAACTGAATCAAATCACAAAGCAGCTTTTTCTAAAGAACTCTGATATAAATAATTGTCTGAGGCCCACAGAAACAAAGAAAAAGTGTCAATAGCTTCCTTATGTTTAATCTTTATATGTTAATTCCCAATTATTTACATTGATATTTTTCATAAAACATTGTGTTACAATGTGCTATGTCATTGTTACAGTGGGTGTAAAATTATATATTCAGTATGGGTGACAAACACTGAAAATTTAAATCGCCTCAAGTACTTCACAAATAGGACATTTTGTGTTTTTCCGGTTCATGCAATATGAGTGTTTGTTTTATTAGAGTTTTATTCTTCTTTTTGTTCATGTGAAGTTTTTGGGATCTGAGCGGGAGCACACCAACTAAAAAGATTTATTGTTGTTTAAACCCAGCCTTTTTTGACACTCAATGTATCTTTGTCTCTAGTTTAAAAATTCACACTGATAAGTAGTCTGGAAAAAGTAAAGTTTGATGAAATTGTGTATTTTCTTTTTTTTTTTTTTTTTTTTTTTTTTTTTGTCTTGCCAGAAGTTCGACCAGCGGTACAGCACATTGTGGTGGGGGGCAGACAGGGGCATATCACAGCTGTGAAGCCATGCTTACGTTGGCCAGTAAGTTGAAGAAGGATGATGGGGGAAAAATGGGCCGTGCCTCTGGAGTCTCAGATTCAACCAACAGGGTCTCCATCAGGGACCGCCTCCTTACCAAAGGTACCCAGGCTTTTTCCTCCTTTGAAATTGATTGATAAACTATTAGAGTAAACCAAACTGTGAATATGTTACCATGATTGTAATTGTTCCCCATTGAGTGTGAATATGCTCATATAACCATTGGAGGTACCTGCATTTGCTAACTGTTAACAGAGAGAGGATATACCTTTTACCCTCTACCTTCTGTACCAGCCCTGCCTCATGTTAACTAGACAGAAACCTTAAATATGAGTCCTAGATTTAATTATGCTGTGGACACAATTTTGTAGTATGTCAGTAGTTCACACCTCTCATCCTCTTACTGTCCCTGTGTTTTATTTATCTACTTGTTTACTTTTTGGATTTATAGGTTCCTCTAACTGCCTTGGAAATAGCCTGTAGATATCTGCGTCCCTTTTGGGTGCCTCTCTGCTTGCTTTTCTTGTAATTCTTTTTACATTACATTGCAGGGTGAGGGTTAGCATAGTGGTGAGTGTCCCCGCCTGTCACACAGAAGACCGGGTTTGATACTCTGATATTCCACTTTGTACGTCGCTTTGGATAAAAGCTTCTGCTAAATGCTAAAACATTTGCATTTAGCATACGCTTTTATCCAATGCAACTTACAAAAAGAAGGTTTAACATTCAACTACAACACTAGTTACACAATTAACTTACCTTGAGTGCAATATGCTGTCATTCTTGTTACCTTTGCCATGACACATTATTCATTTGCCCTTCTAACCTGTCCTTGCTTTTACACTACCTGTGACCAATGATCTTCTTGGGGTTAAAATAAACTCCCACAATTATAAAAAAATATATTTTTCTTGTTTTGTTTTTTGAATATCTCAAATACAAAGTTATGATGAATATCAGCAACAACCTGCGGCACAACTTTAGATAAACAGATTCTTACAAAGCTGGAGTGACAAAAATTAAACAATGCTTATTCCTGCAACACTCACTTCAAAGGCATTGGGCCATCTCCAAAGCTAAATGTTTTCTGCTTCCAAGGGGGGGCACAATGAATTAATCGATAAGCACTGCTATAGGGGGTAATAAGCCCCTAAAAAGCATGGACAGGATTTTTCAGTATTAATAGGAATCTGTGTTTTGAGCAAACTGATGAAGCCTCTTAGATGAGAGGCGAAATGTCTTCTAGAAAACTTCACGTCCAGTTGCCTAAACTGAACTTTCCAAGCTTGACCATGACCTGGATGACTGAGAATCTTCACAGATATGAGCAAAGTGTGGTTTAAAGAATATTTCTTGTTCTAATTATATTAGTCTTATCACAGTCTCCAAAAATGAATATTAATTGTTTTTCTGATAAGATTGATTAATTTAAAATATATAAATAAACAACCATGAAAAATAACATCAGAACAAAGCGAACACCCAGATAAGATTTCCATGAGAAAACAGCACCAGCAAAACAGCCTTCTGTACCTTTTCTAGTTCAGAATCACTGTGCTATACACTGTGTCTTCTTGCTAGTTCCATCTGAAAGATTGTGTGGAGGAAAATTTGCTGACAGGGCAGTTGCCTTTACATTGGGTCATTAAAAAGAACCACCTGGGAGTGTTCACTCCCAGGTTCCCAAATGTTACAAGCGTCCAGTTGTGCATTCCAATTTCTCTGATACTCTGGGCACAATAGTTGACGAGCTTGTTTAGATTTACCTTGAAAATACATTTATATAAACCTTGCCTAGTGGTTATAGTACGAGGTATTTCACAACTATTAACCTAAAAACAAATTGATATGTTGAAATGTACCTCCACCTGATGACCTTTTGTGGATTTAAAAAAATTTATATTTTTAGCTCCACTCTTATTTTTTTTAACTTACTGTCTCCACAGAAGTCGCAGATCTTGAAGCCAATCTCCCCTGTAAGTATACCTACAAATTTTTCCATGTGCCTGAAATTTACATCTCATTTTATATACCATACATTTTTTACTATAGTTTTTGTTTCTTTTTTCCCAACTAAGAATTATGCAAGACAAGTAAAGAAAAAGCTTCTAGATGTGATTTATGTCTTTCATGTCGTGTCTTTTTTTAAAGAATATAATTTTCATTTGATAATGCTTAGTTTTCTAATTAAAAGTAATTGAATATGCTAAGTTATTCCCTAACTATTGATGATTTCATAGTTTAAAAAAATCCTTCCGTAATTCAGTTAATCAAAGTTTAATGTTTGTTAGATTTGCATTTGAAGGATACATTTGGACCACATAAATCTAGCTTTATCAAGCAGGTAATGAGTTCTGGTCCTAGATATAAAAATGTGCTGTGGGTCTACAGGGGCTGATAGTTTTATTCCTCGAATGTGGAGGAACTTGCTCGTACAGAATCCACATCAGCTTCTACAGAGAAGAGGCTTTTATTTTAGATATCCCCTGGTTTATCAAACATTTATTAGAATTTAGTCTACTTGTTGGTATGCAAAGAAGCAGACGTATTCATAATTGCTTGATTTGAGGGTAGTGTGTTTGCCAGCTGTTATGGTTTGTATGGTCTGATGATTTTGCTTTTGTAATTTTTGTCTGGTTTTTTTAATTATTTATTTTAATTTCTCGTATGATTAATTTTTCATGTAACAGTGGCACTGCCCAGAATTACATTTCTGTGGCAGATGCAGTTAGTTACTTTTACCGTCACTGATTTTATACATTCTCCATACAAACATGTCTAAAGAGGGATGCAAGCATTGATATCCATTTCATAAACGAGGCCTTTGTGCCAAATCATGATCCCAGTCCCCTTTTTAGATCACTGTTTGAAACAATTATACATGTTTTCTAACACTTTATTGCTAGCAGCAATAAAGTGTCTTTTCCTGTGTATTCCATTTTCTATTTTTCTTGTCTGATATTAAAAACAAAATAAATATATATGGTTCATTTTTCTTATTCAGTGTTGTACAGTGTTCCTTTGGTTTTCATGAAACCACAGTCTGTTTTTGCGGCTTGTATGGTGGATCTTCACTTGCCCCATTATGCTGATAAATGACCAGTGTTGTTGATAGACAGGAACAGCAGCCAAGGGGAAGAAGGTTTTGTGTTTCCATGGTGTAAAAGAGTGGTGAGACTCCATTACAAACACTTGGTTTAAGTTTGTAGAAAATCTCCTTTTTTAAGCTTTTCCTAATGCAGTAATGGGATAACCACACATTGTATCTACTGCGAATTGCGTTTCCAATAGTGCAGCATACTTAAAAGAGAGGATGTAGTTAAACTGGGATAGGGACTTAGAACCAAATTGAAAGCAAATTATCTGGAATGTTTTAAAGGAGGTATTCAAATCTTGCAACCCAACAGGCATGGCTCTGTTTACCCAATAGAAGCTTTGACATATAATACAAGTCTTCCTCTTCTAATTGTCAGTTTTTCCTTTCAATATCCTGCTGTGATATATCCTACTTTGATATATCCGCTGCTGGTCTGAATAGATTAGATGCGCACTGTCACATTAATTTAAAAAAGGAAGATGGACAAGAAGAAAAACTCAATTATATATACCGGTATATATTTTTGCCTGCAGTAGCATATCATTAACACTGGGGGGAATATAGTTCCACTGTTACACTTAAAGGCATATCCCCCTGTTATGAACAAACCATGGCTTCAGAAGTACAGTATTTATTGATAATACAGTATGTGGCAGAAATACAGAAATACAGCTGATTCTGGCTCCAATATCTGACCCTGACAAACTGCTAACTTCTGCTATTTCTCCACTTACATTTTCTTCTGTGCAGGTACATGCAAAGCCAGTTTCCCAGATGAAAATAAGCTGCATCATTTTCAACTGGCAGTTTCTCCTGGTAAGAGCAAGTACACGAATACCATGCTAATGCCTATTAAAAAGGCATTTTACTTCCTGCATGTCTATGGTTTTTAATAATATTTTGTTCTGTATGATATTAACCCCAATGATCTGATGTTCATTTTAACTTCAGAGAAACACAATTAGGACAAAAACTCTAATTTATTAAAATGTACGGCCGACACTTTGTTGTGGTGGAGGGAATTCTTTCATTATTGAGAGAACAAGTTCAAGACTTCAGTTTCTTTTTGTGTCTTAACATTTTCACTCCTAATACACTTTGAGCCATTTTTGTACTCCCACATTACTGCTTCTCTTTCATTTATCCCAAAGTCTGTGCTGCTTGCTCAGCAGTGTTCCAACCTTCCAACCTGTCGTGTTGTGAAACACAAATACACTGGCGAAGGTCTAATGCCTCTAATTTCCCCTTCCCTACCTGTCATGCACAAACTATTACTATGCCCAGTTTTACCTTCCTGCCAGCCTCATTTAGAGAGAGGGGCAGACATCTTGTGTACAATAATACACTTCATAAAAGCTAAAAACTGAGAGCAATGCAAAGTATTTCTCCCTTGTTGAAGATGAGTTCCTGATTACTTTATGGTGATCCTGAGAATTTGAAGAAGAGCAGTTGCACTTCTTTTTGGATGTTAAATAATTTCACCTTTCATCTAAAAGGCTTTTCAGTTAAAAAACAGAAGGTATCAGTAATATCAATTCATAGGCAGAGACGGTAGTGAAGTTACTGAACCTCCAGAAGCACATGTACTCAAATGACCTTAAAAGGACTAAACTTTGTATCCAGGCTGTCTGGATCATTTAATAACACATGTTAATAATCTTATTTTATAACAAAGAAAACAGTAGGAACAAAAAGCAGAACAGCATGTCAACGCCGACCTACGAAGTCTGTGAAATGTAATAGTTAATGTAGACGACAAATGTAATGTAACCGGTCCTTTCGCAGTTACTGTATTTTGTCATTATTTCAGTCAGTGAAGTTGAAACACATTAAAAGTAATTGGCTTCCTTGAATCTAACTAGTATTGCATGGAATCCAGTATGTTTTCTTTTTCTTTTCAAAGTAAATATATCCTTATGTCATCCTTTCTGTTGTGTTGCGTTTTTCATTTGCTCCTGTCATTTATTTTATATCTTATTCGAGTTAGATGCGTTTTCTCTAGCTTAGTATAATTCATGACACCACCAAGCCTATCACAGTTTTAATATTATCGCCTGATTGTGTTTTTTATGCCAATTGAAATCACTATCATAGTCCTCTATTTTCCTAAGAAAAAACATAATTATCTTTTAGAAAGCTGCACTTGCAGTCTTGCTGTTGGCTTTTTCTGCTCTGGTTTAACTGTATATGGGTGGGATATTAGTGCTATCAAGTATTGATCTCAAGCAGCCAGGTGAGCTATCATTTATTCGCTATTTTTTGATGAGCATCTATTAGTGTCATGGATTGCACTCCAAAGGCAACTGGACAGCTGGGAGAAAGTCCACTTACTTTAAGGATGCTTTTAATCAGAAATGCAGTAAAAATCTGAGAGTTAAAAGTGAGACTACTGATTGGAGTAACCGTCTGCACAGTCACCACTCCACCACTCCACCCAGATAATTGAACTTGCAAATTTAGCTCTGGAGCGAATAGGTTTTCAGAATATCCTAAGGGTAAGATGGTCGTTCAGCAGTTTACTTCTGTCCGAGTTCCTCTGATTGAGCCAGTTGGGGTGATGAATGTAGCTTCAAAATGGAACAAATTGAATTTTCAGTCCATGCTTTTAATGCACAACCTCATGCTGCACCCATCTCTGCTAGGCAGGGAGATCCTTTTTTGCTTTGCACAGCACAGGTCTATGTAAATGAGTTAGTAAGCGGAGTGCAGCAACCACCATGTTTTCAGTCAGAGCTCTTTGAGGGTGCAGATACCTGAACAATATTGACCTGGATGTTAGTTGGCGCTGGTAGCCAATTGAACCATTATTCCTATTATATTCACTTAATAAAGCTGTGTCCGTTACCAGTAATGTTTGTGGTATTTTACTAAAATTTAGCTCAACTTTGTGTGAAAACCTTTGTTGGGCTTTTCTACATTTCTGAACAATTCAAGTTTTTTATGTAATAAAAAAAAATATGTGTATACATTCAAATACTATTCTGTCAATATATATCATTACTTTTAAAAAATATTTTTCCCATTAATTGATGTCTCAATTATTTGATCAAGTCACATGAGATCTTAAACAACCCCCCCCCCTCCCCAAAAAAAAAAGGTTTGTTTTTTAAATAATGCAAATTTTATGTGGCTTTTATCTCATGGTGAATATTGAAGTAATAAGTCTGTCTTGTTTCTGCTTACATTGTTCAGCAGTTTCTGTTAATTTGCTGCATTCAGTGTGGTTTTCCTACTTAGCAGCTCTGGATAGAACATGCTCTGATCTGTCCTAATTTGGGTGATTTCACTTAGTGATGAAAAGGAATTCATTTAAAAATGCCCATATACCGTCCTCCCAGTGTTCACTCCATCATTTTTTTTACAGTATTGTTTGCCCAAAATGTAGATTTTGACTGATTATTTTTTGACTGAGGAAGTCTGTAGGTTTTTGTTCAAAGATACAGTTTCTAATAAAATACTGTAGATCATGGTGTTTTGAAATTTTTAACTTAAATTCTAGGCCAGAAATGAAAAACAAAAAATACAATTATTTTGCAGAAATCCTGGACTCTATTATTATTTGGCATTTGTATTTGAAAGGCAGTTGTGCATGGACAGAGAACATGGAGGCTGTCTGTTTTAATGACATTTTCTCAAACCTAATCACTGGCTGGTGATGATTATGTCAGACTCTGACATGTCAGACTCTGACATAATCCACAGTTACTTATCATCCTTTGTCTCACTTCAGATGAGGGCTACTACCAAAGCGGAAGGTTTCAGTTTGAAATAGATGTCCCAGAAGCCTATAACATGGTGGTGAGTAGTTCAGTTGTCAATTAATAATTCGATTTCTTTTCTATGTATGAGCCTCTCCTCATACCAGTGCATTTTTAATGTAATATATTAATGTAATGCAATAATTATATCTTTAAAAAAAAAAAGGAAAATTATTAATATTTTTATGCTGAGTCAATTTTATTGAATTCTGAATTGTTTGTATGTCTCTGTTTTAGGTAAATAAATAAATCTTGAAGCTTACAACACAAGACAGACTCAATGTCTGATTTTTATCAGAGGGGGAGTTTTATGCAAATATTGAAGATATTATGCAGTCCCCTGTAAACAATCAGATTGTTCTCGCCAAGACAGGTTTTTGGGAAAGAGTGAATCCTAACTCATCCCCTTATTTTTTATTTTCATACCTCTTACATAATGACATCTGTTTGAAAATTGTGCCTGTGACAGGATTTATACAGCTGAATGACCTGGGATTTCCTCTTTCCACACAGTATGACTTCCGCTCTGTCTTGGGCCCCTCACACTGACAGTGCAGCTCAGAAGAAGTTTGTTTGCCGTGACAGATGTGTGCTTTGTCAGTTCTTATTCTGGGGATTGTATTGCCCCAGATCTCATTTGGGAAGTTTGCTGCTGCTCTGATCTGACAATGAACATCACTGTCGTAGCAGCAAAGCTGTCAATACGACTACCTGTTAGAGGGGGTTAGCACTTGTCTGCCCGTAAATAATCGCTAGTAACTGAGCGGATAATTATGATGATATTTTTCATTATGTTCATAAATATTCCATCCATTGCTTCGATGTAAGTGGGATTGTAGAGATGTGCCAACTGCTTTTTACGTGGCTGAGAGATGCTTATCACAATGAGGATTTTATGCATACAAACTGCAGGCATCTGGCTCAAATTTATTTCTCACCTGTCATGACAGTTGTGAATAAGAGTGGGATTGTCCCAGTTGTGGTGGATTGACAAAGAGTATGTCCTTGACATAGAGCTACCACTTTTCTGTCTTTACTCCTCTTGTTTCTGGATGACTTGAGCTGATAATCACAGAGGTGGACAACAAACTCTTACTGGACACTCACTTCAACTCTGCTTGATATTTTGATTATTGCCAGGTTCCCAAATGTTAAGATATTTAGTCCTCTACTGCAAAGTACTCGCAGATCCAAGACCTCTTGCTTAACATCCAGCAACATGTTCTGGTGATACGTCCAGTTAACAAGCCCTTTATTAAATATGGCATGGAAAAAAGTTGTGTCAGCTTTGATTATAAAATGGACTGCTGATGATGAAAAAGATCTGATTCCACACCAGCATATTATGGGTTGGTCTTTTACCTGTAGTCCAACTTTCCACCAAGTCTCTTTAAATCCATACCTGTACTTCTATTCTGTTTTTCTAAAAACAGAATAACTAATAAGCAGATAAATTCAAAAGCAATCACTTCTCCTCCTGTCTTGTTTGAGGAATTCTGGGGAAATTATTTGTGAGTACTCAGACAGGAAGAAGTTAAGTGACTTTGTGCACACAATCTTTAGGTGTGGCCTTTTATTTTTAGAACTTGTTGCATCTGTTTGTGTTTATGGTGTTGTAATCTTAATTTCAAGTTACTTCATCTCAATTTGAAGGGGTTTTGGTTATTTATTCTGGTGGCTCTGTGCTTCTTAGTTTTGAGACTCACATTCTTAAAGATTCTGAATCAAATAGTCAACCATGCTGAAGTGTTATCTCTTGGAGTGAGAGCAACAACTTTTTAGACTTTAATATATAAAATCAAGAATCCTATTTTTTTCATTTCAGATGCAAGAAAATCCAGTGTATGTAGTTTAATTGTCAATGTAAAGTTTGTGTAACCTCAGGTGTTTTTGTGATGTAGGTAGAACAATCAGCTCACGTTCTCCCAATTCCTTTTGTGTCAGTCACGTTTGTCCTACTGCTTTTATCAGTCTCTAAATCAGTCTCTTGAGTATCCTTTTATCTGATGGGATTTTCTGGCTCACAAAGAAAGACCGACAGCTTGAATATCATTGTTAAAATCTGATCTAATGTGAAGCAGAGATTGAAGTTCTCTTTGTCTCTTTTGGCGTTTTTAAAAAGTATGTATTTATGGGAAATTCATTAGTAAGTAGGTGGTATTTAATTTGTTTTCAAATAGTGTTAGCTGCTTCTCATAATTTATACTGAAAGCATATCTGTTCAGGACATATTTGAATCACCTTTTCTTCCCACTGCAGTTCTCTTTCTATCTCTTTTCATTCTCTTTGACTCAGGGCACCATAACCAGGAGGTGTCAAACCATAGATGAGTGGAAAGCTGATCAACACATATTGGCTACAGTGGTCATAAAATTATACCTCGGTATAACTTTGTATGAATAAAATGTTCATTTTTATTATTGCAGTTTTACAGCTCATTTTATTGAAGTTATTCCCACATTGTGAGATATAGAAAAGTCTCAGGGTTTTAATGAGACCATTTGCACCTCACGAAAAGGGCAGAATTTTTTCTTGTCGGTATAAGTAGGTATAAGTCTGTAATTTTGCAAGGATTTGTAGACTGAATTAGAGGTTGACTGTAAATACTGATCCTAATAAACTCAAAGAAGCATTTGTGCTTAGAGGTTATTAAGGCTGTTAAAAAACATTCATTGTTGTTGTTTATTTCTGTGGTCACATTTTGACATTTAGCTTTGCTATGGTTCAGAGGCCTAAGATTTGTTTATCATTTTGTTATTATAAAAACACTTAGCCGAAAGTGTGGTATTATCACTAGTAATGTGATATAGGAACATATATTTTCAATCAGTGGAATAATTGAAGTATCTAAAAAACAATGTCTGGCTTTTTTTTTTTTTTTTCTGTTCTCCAGCCTCCTAAAGTCAGGTGTCTGACAAGAATATGGCATCCAAACATCACAGAGAATGGAGAGATCTGTTTGAGGTAACGAACTATATTTCCCCTGTGACTTCTCCATCCCACTGTCACAACATTTACACTGTTTTTCCATTTCTTTTTCATGCAGCTTATTACGCGAACATTCTATTGATGGCACAGGGTGGGCCCCGACTAGAACATTAAAGGTAATTTTCTTCCACTTTTTATGAAAGCAGTGTCCCATCCAGGCCATGTTCACAATTAAGGACCTACTTATTTGCATGAGGCACAAACATGGGACGTCAGGGGATTCAAAGAGCCCAGTCTGACTTATTTCAGTATTGACTGTGTAGTTTTAAAAAGCTATGAAGACTTAATGGGTGTTGTCATTAAGGCTAACATTTTGGTTAACATTTTGGTATAGTGAATAAACAATCTAGAATGCAAAAGACAGTATGACTCACCTTCAACATGGGTTTCTTGTAGTAGGCCGTGGGCCAGAATCTGTACGATGACTTTTCATTTGAACTTTTTGGGGGCAACTTTCCTCCAGTTTAATTAGATACTTTGGCCAATGTTCCCACGTTTTCACTTGCACATTAATTAATTACAGCCAATTAAAATTTTGGTAGTTCCACATCTGGCCAATAGGTGGCTAAAAGTAAGAAATTTTTCATATTTTTGGTTTTAACCAAGTAATCTTTACCACAATACTTTAAAATCATTAAAGTTTATCATTTGAAAAGGTTTTTTATGCAAAAACTGCTAGACTCAACACGGAAATGGAATTTTGACCTTTAGTTTTGATTTTTGCAACCAGGGGGCCACTGAACCTGAGCTACTACATATTTTCCACTTTATACAGCCATAGCAAGACAAAGGACAATAATTTAATTTGCAAACACCTTGTTTTTTGACCAAATAATTTCTTACTAATTTAATTATTGAAAAACTGACATCACTTTCCTTCATATTGCATTTATTAACTTAATGAGAGAAAAATAATGTAGAGTACTCTCCGTCTAAAAAATAATCAAAACAACATAATACAGTTGAATAAAGCCTTATTATCCCAAGTAAACCTTGCTACAAAAAATTTAATAATATATTATTTTCACTGTCAATAAAAAGTAACTAGGATCCATATTTATATACAACATAAAAATCTGAACCTCTCATATTTACAGTTATATTATCTAGATCTTAACCTTTCCTCGCGACATCATACTATTTAAATCCAGACAAATTGTATTTACATCATATTTAAATCCAGACCTTTCATATTTATATTTGCATCAAAAACTTACAACATATATGAGAAACATTACAACTCATCATCTGAATCATCCAAGTCCTCATTATCATTTGAATATATCCCTTCCACATCATTCTCATTTTCACTCATAACAGGACAGAGTGCACAGTTTGCACATCGGCAGAGGTCACTACATGCCAAAGGACCCCTCTTGCATGAACAGATTAGTGTAGCACATGCATTTTTCTTGCATTTGCAAGATATGTCCATCGTGACATCAGATGGAGCTGGGGGATTTGCCATCCAACAGTATGAGAGCACTCCATCTTCAAAGGACCAGGTCGAAACACCTTCTATAAATTGCTAGCTGGTATGCAGCTCGCTTAGAATGTTGTCAAAGACAATCCTCATTTGGTGGAAGAGACTTATCTGATTTACAGAGAAGTTTGAACATTTTAAACCTGGCATCATTATCCCGGTTGCAATTTTTCTGTCCATACAAGTGACAGACAAATTCTTCAAGCTAGAGGAACAATTCATCATCAACATCCCAATTTGTCTCAAGAATTTGAAAGCAATTAACAGCTGGAGCTGATTCAAGCATCAGCCTTAGGGCTTTAACTTTTCCTTTAAAGGCACTTACTGTGTCGCATCCAGTAAAAACTAACAATAGCTCAACATTTCCTTGGACCATGACGACTTGCTAGATGTGAAATATTTACAATACGAGTTTTGTTGCAAGTCCTTGTTTTAAAATAGATAGTACTCTCAAAACAATGCACACAACCCAAAGCCAAGACCATGACATCAGTGTCTGGGCTCAAGATAACAACGTCTTTATTTTCCAACGAAGTGTGATTTACATGAAGTAGAAGTCTGGTATCAGCTTCTTTCATGAACACAGCAAAGTGAGCCTTTGATTTGCTCGCGTACAACACGTTCACGTGCTCTCCCAATTTTTGTTTTGTCCGTGTATTTCGAGTAGCACTTCCTATGGTACCCCAGCTCAGCGGGTCACGGCGACTCAACTATGTACTGAGAGAAAGTCTCGGCTATTTATTTCTCCCTGCCACTTAGGTCTATCTAGGATTTGCAACATTCAATAAATCACTGCCAAGTGGCACCAGAAAATGAAATTATTAAACCTTCTTTGTCTTGAAACAAGTGCGAACAACATTTCACGGGCGCTGCCATATTGAAATGACCAGGCTCCCGCGCCGAGATTCATGCATCTGATTGGCTGATAGGCAAAACTCGAATCTCGCGATTTCTTACATTACGGTGGTACAAATTATATTTTTAATTGACTATAACTAATAAATATGCAAGTGAAAGGGTGGGAACATTGGAGATTTAAGATCACTGTAGTCTTTAGAAATGTATCCAAGTGAAAGAAAGTTGCCCCCTAAAAGTTAAAACGGAATTGCTTAAGGAGACGTCATACAGATTCTGGCCCACGGACTATAGGTCAAGAAAATACATTCTTCACCCACCCTCTTTTACAAGATGATAAAGAGTAGTTCCTATAATTTAAAAAAGGGCCAGCTCCACTATCCCCATTAGGATTTGACTAAAATAACACCTCACTGTAGTAGATGCTGTTGAACTGCACTTGATGTTAATTAAGCATTTGTCACACCTTATTTTCCCCAGACACTGAAGCCCTCCACTTCCTTTTTTTGTTTGAGAAATTGTCTGTCAAGACAAAAGAGGATATTTTGAAATTAAACTTTCTTCTTCCCTTCTTAAATAAGGAATAATAATTGGATTGCAGGCTGAAAAAGCAACTTCATTATTCTCTAATAACAATAATTTGAATTAATGTAGCAAAAATATAGCTATTATGCTGACAGACAAATTTAGCAGTTAAATAAAAGAAATATCAGCATTGTGTTTTTACATTGTTGCATTTCAAGTTAGCTGAGTGAACTTGTCCAGTCAACCGTTAACATTTTCTATGTCTGAATAAATTTATATTATTTAAATTAATAATTGATGAAGCTCTTTCACTAAAGCCTTTTAAAATGCTCAAACTTATGACATTACTTATGGCTGCGGTACTGTTTTTGTTTTCCACGCGGCATACGTTTTTTCAGGTTCCTGCCATAACACTTTAGGGCTGCCACAACACAGCTGATGTAAAACAGACATCAAAGTTGGGGTTATCTCAGTAATTCCAATAAGAATCAATTAAGAAGACACCCTGTTCGGAACCTTGATCTGATACTTCAAATCAGATTTCCTGCCTCATAATTCAATTGCATTAAAAAAAAAAAATTCATCACATAGCTGACATTTAGTCTATACTATTTTCATTCAACAGCACAGTCTTCAGTGGAAAGAGTACTAGAACATCTGCGGGATGTATAATGACATGCAGATGCCCTCCTCTTCTGATTATTTAAATCAGTGTTTTCTTTAGGGGATTAAACTTGTATGAAAAATACGATAAGAAACAATTTCCACATCAAAGCTTTAAACGGTTAACCTTTTCTTAGTTTCTTAGAGGACACAGCTAGAAATCAGCTTTGCATAACGGATATGACCATGATTTTCTACGGATTGGTGATCATCGCTGCTCTTTGTTTGTGACAATAGGTGAATTATAAGGAACAAAGGATATTATGAAGTTTTGATTAAATTGTCTCAATTTTTAATTGATCCCCTTTCTTATCTGAGTGTAATCATTTAAGTTCGGATTTGAAAGGAAACCTGTTATTTTTGTCTATTTATATTTCTCATCTATTGAGCACAAGCCGCATGTATGACGTTTTTAAATTAATACAGCTATCATGTAGCTAGTTGTAGCAGCTCTGAGAAACTGAAATACGAGTGGGATGTAAGATTGTGCATTGACAGTCATACATTTTGTAGTTTGGCTATTTGTTTCCTTTCCTGCAGGGTTTTGTTTGTGTGTGTATATGTGTGTCTGCCTGGTTTAATTTGAGAAGTGCTCCTTGTTTGCTTGAAGGTAGGTGTAGATACAGTCATAAGCGTGTTAGTTCTGGGACTTGAGTTCATGTGCGTCAGGTATCATTGTGAATGCACAGAAATATGTAAGCAAAAGTGCAAAAGCTGCAAAGAACCAAGGATTTTGCTGAGTGGGTGTTCAAATAATTCTAAAGATATATATTTTTTGGTATAAATATCAGGGCAACTCCCCCAAAAAGTTAAACAAGGTACTTCAGGATTTTTTTCATCTTTGTTCATTTCGGGAAGGTAAACATTTAGAAGCAAAAAACATTAAAGTTCCTTTTATGTTTTTATATGTTCTATCTATTCATGAGACTGTAATTGGAAATTAGACTCTCCCTCAATCAGGGGCTTCTTCAGATTGGTTGTAAGAGGGACTGCTGTAGAAGATCTTTCCTGCCCTCAGCCATCACAATCTATATATATATATATTTAATTTCCCTCTGAGATAAGTAAAGTATTTTTTTATTTAACTGAATTAATTGTAAGGTAACAGCAAAGGAAGGCATACTATTGCATGGCATTGTAGGTGTTGTTCTACAACTTATGCTTATAAACTTTAATCTTTATAGACAATAATATGTTAAAGCTCAGAGTTTACATATAGTATTCTCAGTTTTTCATGTGTTTTATGTTTCATTGTCTGGGTTGAAGGTGTTCCCCCTGCTTTGTTATGTTGTCATTCAAATTAGAAAGAAAGACTCTAAATACCTGAAAATGAACACATAGGTTTTGTGGTGAAATTTTTTTTGTCTTATATGATGATTGCTTCACTCCTTGCTCTTACATTTACAGCATTTAAGTTTACATAATTTATTCAATTTTAATGTCCACTTGCTCATTAATTTTTCTCCTGATGTTTTCTCTCTAGGATGTGGTCTGGGGATTGAACTCCTTGTTTACAGTAAGTTTACTTAGTTTTAATTTTGACACACTACCAGTCTGTAGTGCATGTAATTGTTTTTTAAAATGTATTATCCTCCTACCACCTAACTATGGCCCTACTGTAACATAAACCTATTTATGTTTTTAAGGGTCTTACAAAAACATTACTTTTCTACGTGATTTTTTACAAACGTTAAATCTCCATCATAAAAGTACCAACTGCCTCCTGTCATATAGCAGCTCTTCTTTTTGTGTTTTTACTTCTATGCTTTTTACATCAGTTTTTTGTATCAAATAAATTTGTTACAGGAGACCCAGACCGTTATGACTCTTAGTTCTGTCAATAAATGTAGTAAGAAACATTTTTGTCTGTGGGTTCATGTATGTCCAGACAGATATTTAAGCTTATGTATATACGTAGCAGAATTTTCTTTTGTGTTAAATTAATTGATTTAGTGCTACATAAATAAACCTGAATTGAAATAAATTCATTAATCTAAATTTCTCGACTTTTTTATAAGAATGATTCTTTATAAAGATTAGGCAGTTTTTCATCACAGCTGTGATGTCCCCGAAATTGCAGACTTGAGGAAATAATTTATTTCCTAATGGAGGTGATTAGAAGCCTGATGCAATCAAACTAGAATACAAGTTGTGTTGTTTTCATATATGGTTTGCTAGCGTTGGACATCACAGAATGGCAGTAAATTTGTATTTATTATCCATCCATCCATCCATCCATCCATCCATCCATCCATCCATCCATCCATTTTCTTCTGCCTATCCGGGGTCGGGTCGTAAGGGCAGCCAGACTTTCTCTCCCCCACCACATTTGCCAGCTCCTCTGGGGTGATGCCAAGGCGTTCCCGGGCCAGCTGAGAAACATAGTCCCTCCAGTGTGTCCTGGGTCTTCCCCTGGGCCTCCTCCCGGTGGGACATGCCCGGAACATCACACCAGGGATGTGACCAGGTCGCATCTTAAGCAGATTCCCGAGCCACCTCAACTGACTTCTCTCTTTTTTTTCTTTTTTTTTTTTACGCGGAGGAGCAGCGATTCTACTCTGAGCCCCTCCCGGATGACTGAGCTTCTCACCCTATATCTAAGGGAGAGCCCAGACACCCTGCGGAGGAAACCCATTTCGGCCGCTTGTATCTCTGATCTCGTTCTTTTGGCCACTACCTAGAGCTCGTGACCATAGATAAGGGTTGGAATGTAGATAAACCAGTAAATACAGAGCTTTGCCTTTTGGTTCAGCTCCTTCTTCACCATGACAGACTGATGCAGAGTCCACATCACTGCAGACCCCGCAATGATCCGCCTGAGGAGCTCTCGCTCCATCCTTCCCTCACTTGTGAACAAAACCCTGAGATACTTGAACTCCTCAAACGGGACCTCATTCCCGTCCTGAAGACGACACTCTACCATTTTCCAGTTAAGGACCATTGTCTTGGATTTGGGGGTGCTGATTCTCATTCCAGCGGCTTTACACTGGACTGTGAATCACTCTGTGAGAGCTGGAGATCCTAGCCCGATTTAGCCAACAGAACTATTATCTAACATTATCTGCCACCAAACAGGATCCCCTTAACACCTCGGCCAAAACTCATGACCATAGATGAGGCTGTAGCGAATCGGTAAATCAAGAGCTTCACTTTTATGCTTTAGTATTATGTTATTAATGTATTATTTTTTTATAGTCATTATATAGTCTTTAAGAAAATTCAGGATAATTAATCGGGTTTGGGGATAGAAAATGTTTGTGGGAGAGTGCAAGAAAACAACATGTACGCAGCTTATTCAAGTGAATTTCTGTAACTTTGCAAAGTAAAAAAAAAAGAAGATAGTTAAGGTTATATCATGAATTACAGCAGTGCGGATTAAGATATGATAATGATGGTCTGTCCAGGTGGATGGTCATGCCTCTAGTCTTACCTCTTAATCAGGAACTGACTCCTCATGCCATACTGGTTTTTGTCTCTGTAAGAACTCTCTACTTTCTGGCTATTTGTGGTGTCTCTGAAGCCACCATGTATTTAGGCCATTTTGTTTGTTTCAGTGGCAGAAGCCAAAGTGACATTGCAGATGGCAAGTGGTGTTGAAGTGGTTGAATGGATTATATATACCATGGCAACCTTTCTTAATGAACAACATTTGACCCATGGAAAGAAGTATTGAACCCTGCAAGGTGTTTCGTTAATTAACAGGATGTACGAGAGCTTCTTGCCTTAAACAATGAAACATTGATGTATTGGACACATTGTTTTAAGATTTCCACACAACATCCCTCTCCTCACCTCCTCTTCAGGACCTGCTCAACTTTGATGACCCTCTGAATATCGATGCTGCAGAACACCATCTCAGAGACAAGGTAAGGTGCATTGAGAAATAATTAACTACAGATTTAACTTAAACAGTCATTCTTGTGTTTGACATGTATATGATCCATTTGTGAATCCTACTGTTAATGTTACAGAAATGTTTCTAGTAATACTGATATCTTTGCTTTTGTGGATGTTCTCTATGGACAAGCTGTTTGGCCTAGACATACAGCCAATGCAAAAATTTGTATGTTTTACTTTTAGTAATGCACTGTGGGATATGTTACGTTGTAGGTGGAATTATGTGACAGTAGAGAGTGCTTTAGTCTGGAATAGTGGGCTGTAGAAAAAAATGCAGAGCAGCCGCTCTGCCGCTGCAGTGGTTGTGTTGATCTCCAAAACTGTATACGCAGAGGAGGTATTTAAAAAGAGACACTTGGCAATGTCATGCTTATATGGTAGGAGCAGCGTTTACACTTTGAAAATCAGTTGCTTGAGTCTTTGACTTGTATCAGGGCTTTCTCAATTTTGGGAGATTTTAAATATTTAAATAAAGCAGACCAAATGAGTTCACATTCTTCATCAGATAATAATTGATGAACTAGTGTAAGTGGGTTTATTTTAGTATGTTTCAACAAATTAACAATCTCCTGAAGTCTAACATTCTTTAGCTCCTAAATTATGAATTTACTTCTGTTTTCTTTGTAACAGATGAAGGCCCAAACTGTAGACTTTAGTCAGCAATAAATCCCCACCAAATGTGTGAATAAGTCTAACGTACCACTAAATTTGCTCACTTGTTGTGTTAACTAGGTTTACCTTAAATAGGGTACTTAAGTTGTTTCCTTGCCAGCACCGAACCGCCAAAAACAGGATATTCTCCAGGCTAGCAACTCGAATGTGCGTTTCTGTATGAATCACTGGCCATAAAAGGCACATACCAATTTTTCCACTACGTTTTCAACAAAAACTTTGCTGGTCTTTGACAAGGGCATAGACAAATTGTTTTACCAGAGAAATAGCCTCTCTCAAGTTGATTACATGGGTTTGATTATAGCTGATGTCCAATTCTGTAAGACTCAATTGGGCATCACAATTTAGAATTGAGTAAAAAAGTGGCTGGACCTCATATTTCAAAATGAAAATGTTGTCACCGATTTGTCAGGTGATGCTTGTGTAGTTATTTGGAAACTCTACATTTACCCTAGGAGTGAATGTGAGTGTGTGTGGTTGTTTGCAGGGATAGGCTACAGCCTAGAAAATGGATGAATATTTTAATTAAAAACAAAAGATAATTTCTTCATTACAAAGCAAAGAAGTGAGAAAAATAAGTTTTAAGAGTTTTAAATTTTGCATCAGTGGTTAATATCAGCAACTCACTGAAATATTTTTATTATCTAAGGCAACTAAGGCAATCTAGTGTTTGTGTTTTTTCAGATTTTTTAAAGCATTTCTATACCCAAACATGTCATGTCATGCACTTTATGCCTTTGATTTATGGGTCTGTCATATGTTGATTTTTATGAATACACTCTGTCTAGAACCATGAGTGTTATTTTATTTGCCTACTTACGCAGTGGGTAGTACTTCAGCACACCTGAAGAGTGGTGCCATCTCTCAGTTTCATATTTTACTTGCCAGCATGGGAAATCATTCGATATTCAACTAATTGAGCAAGTAACTAAGAGCAAGTGAATACGTGGTCTGGACACAAGTCCGTTGTAAAAGTCACAGTGTGCAGTGAAGCAAGTTGTGCCAGCAGGAGACTTGCTGATGACTTCAGTGACAGTCTGCAGCAGACCAAGAGCATCACAGCAGCCACCAAACTTGTGCTGTAGTTTTTTGCTTAGAGCACAATGACAAAAACCCTGACTTTTTCTTCACCATTATGTATGTCTATCACATGAAAACTAGTATTAAAAATAATTATTACTTAAAACATGAAGATAAACCTCTTGACATTCAACACCATTACATAATTCTACTGTCTGTAAAATGTAAGTGCTATTTAAATGTCCTGTTGTGCCATTCTAAAGTCACAACAACTGAAAACACAAAGTCATCCATCTGTGACCCTCTCCCACCGAGTCACAGCTTTTCATAATCAATTTCAGCAGCTAGTGGATAGAGATGTGGGAGGCTGTGTGTCAGCACACAGGCTTACTTGTGTATGGGGATGGTGTTATCTTGTGTGTGTTGAGGCTTTTGAAGTGGAGCTACTCCTGTGGCTGCGCTCTGAATACATTAACTGCTGGAAGTGACTAAAAGGAGGCATCCTCATGGGGCAAAGTAGTGTGTGAAGTATAAGCATAATGTATGTGGCTTGTTCGTGATGGTGGGTCTGTGCCAGTGTTATATGTGAGTGGGTTTTTGCTGCATAGATCCAGATGCTTGTGTGAAAAAAAAAAATAATGTAATTACTGTCTTGCAGTGTATGGGAGTGTTTATTATTTTTACATACTGTGATTTCTCAATTTAAAAACCCTGTTGTCGGGGGGCGCTGGTGAGCAAGATATGGTGTAGGACGCATTTCTCAGAGCTCCTGCAAAACCCAACTTAATTACAAACGAAAAGGGAAAAAACAGCTTTAACCACGCTGATATCTGTGGATATACTGAAGAGGAAACCTTGGGACTATAAAAAAGCTAGAAAGTTCGGACATAATTATCCGGAATGGCCGAAAAACTTCAAAAATTCAGACACGGAAACGACGCTAATGCTCCAAGACCTGCTAGGACCCCGAGGCAGCGAACAACAGAAGATGCCGACCTATCGGTTCCCACGGGTTCTGGTGAGCCAAATACGAATAGCGAAGAACTGAAAGCAGACATTTTACGGTCATTGAGAGGAGATATCGCTAAGGTGATAAGAGACGAACTTAAAGGTGCATTGGCGGATGATTTCCAAGCTATAAAATCCGGACTGCAAGCGGTCCGGATTCAGCAATTCAAAAGCAATACAAGCTGAAGTGGATACCATAAAAACGGAGGTTCTGGACTTAAAGAGTGGCTTATCAATGTGGTCAGACGAAGTCACCTCATTACAGTCTACTGTTACAAGTTTACAGAAGGAAATGTCAACGCTCAAGGATAAATGTGAGGATCTAGAGGGGAGAATGAGAAGATCCAATATCCGCATCGCGGGCATTGAAGAACGCCCGGGCTCCGGCTCCCCACAGGCGGTGGCAAAAATCATCAAAGAAGTGCTACAGATGGACCGAGATATAAAGGTAGACCGCTCACATCGCACATTCACCGGGAGAGGACCTAGAGATCGGGAGCTACCAAGAGTCATCATCGCCAAATTACATCACGACGGAGACGCGGCGGAGATCCTGAGGAGAGCTCGCAGCAGAGCTCCGCTCTCTTACAACGGGCACCGTGTTTCCTTTTTCCCCGACTACACGACGAGCGTAGCCAAAGCTAGAGCTACTTTCACGGAGGTGCGAAAGGCGCTACGTGGGATCAAAGAGGCCCGCTACAGCCTCCTCTTCCCAGCCCGGCTTCGGATCACACACCGTAATGAAGAAAAGGAATTCCTCGACCCCAAATTGGCCATGGATTATGTCTGGAACAATATTATTCCAACAGAGACAACCGAATAAAGGTACCGTGTACCGGCAGTGACAATGTTATCAGGAAAATCTCAATGCTATGGCTATCGTTCATATAGCTTCCCCCATAAGGTTTATATTGATAAGTTCATGGTTTTAAGATAATGAGTAATTCAGCTGTTTAATTTAGATCCCTTTTCCCGGTAAGTCTTGCAGGAGCTGGCATAGTATATGTGGACCTTGCGTGGCTACTTTATCCCCCCCTCTTCTGCACACATATTCAATCTTGTTGTGCACTTTAGCGGCTCCTATTAGCTGCTGGGGACTATGTCCCAAGTACTCTTTTACTATAGATATCTGTTCTCTGTTTCTTCAGTTCTGGTCACTCTGTTCCCCGGGGACCGTGCACAATTTCTTTTTGCAAACTTATTTTATTTCTGTTATTGTTCCGCTTCATCACACGCCTATTCTAACCTGACGAATCCAGAAAGGATGGGCACAGTTGTCAAACATATGTCTTATTCCTCCCTGTTTGATATTGTGGTCAAGTTGTACACATTCCTTAAATCTCACATAGATAAGGTGATATTATACATAAAGGTCTGGTTACCATTTCTGTTATGCTCCGATAAGTTGATGTATAGACCGAGTAGAGTTAATGGGTGACCCACTTAAAATCGTATCTTATAATGTAAAAGGATTACATAACCCAGCCAAGAGAAGTAATATATTGACTCAACTAAAACAACTTAATTGTCATATTGCCTTTTTGCAAGAAACCCACCTATCTGATACAGAGCATGAGAAATTAAAAAAATCCTGGGCAGATAAAGCTTATTACTCATCCCACCGATCTGGGAATAAAAAGGGTGTTGTCATTCTCATACATCGACAGGTCAACTTTACACAAACTATATTACATAAGGACACAGAGGGGAGATATATATTGGTTAATGGTACAATTGATGGCATAAAAGTATCGCTGCTTAACGTATATGCACCCAATACAGACGCGCCTGATTTCATAAAATCATTGTTTAAGATAATATTACAACACAGTTCTGGACTTCTGCTGATGGGTGGAGACTTCAACTGCACTTTATCACAAATATTAGACAGATTACCCACCCCCAAAACTCCCCTCTCCAAAATGAGCAGGATGCTCAAACATCAGATTACAGAGACGGGTATTGCTGACGTCTGGAGAAGTAAGTTCCCCAGAACTAAAGACTTTACCTTCTATTCAAATAGACATGCAACCTACTCCAGGATCGATTATTTCTTTACGCCAATGTCAGAACTACATTACTACATTACTACTACCCAATACTATTTCTGATCATGCGCCTATCTCACTAAAGTGGAATACAGGACATAGACTAACATCCAAACAATGGAGGCTTAACATATCCCTCCTTAACGACAAAGTATTCACGGCATTTATTACAGAGGAACTTAGGATATACCTAGAAACCAATAATACTCCAGACACAACTCCTCTAATATTATGGGACTGTG